GACTGGGAACAATTTACACATCAGGCAACTCAATACTTTTATCAGTTTTACTTCTTTTTGTTACGATATATATGACATTATAAATATTAAGACAAAGTCCAAAAATCATAAAAGTACAGCTTGGAAATTATTGTAAAGTGGATATTTGGCAAATAACCACTCAGGGAAAGAAATAGAATATTACCAGGCAAACAGTAAGCCCCCATGGTCCCTTCTTTTTTCCTAGAAGTGCTACTGGCCTGGCTGTATAGTTTGTCACCAAAGTACTCATCTAAATAATATAGTTGGTTTCTTATTTTTGAAACTTTTATATAAGATACATACATATTCTATTAAGAATATGTAAATTATAGAATATGAAAAAAATAGAATTCTATATTAGAATATGAATAAAATAGAAATATGTACAAATTCTATTTATATAGAAGCATACATATTCTTTTGTAACTGACTTCTTTGGAGTAACATTCTGATTTATTAATAAGTTTCATCATAGCTATATGTATCACATCCTAGCTTTGTTGGCAATAATGGTGACTTAAGAGAGTGTCAATTAGCGTGAGCGGTTGGTGGCTCACACCGTGTAATCCTGAGCACTCTGGGACCGAGGCAAGTGGATCGCTCAAAGGTCAGGAGTTTGAAACCAGCCTAACAAGAGTGAGACCCCATCTCCTGCTAAAAATAAGAAATAAATTAATTGGCCAACTAATATATAATATAAAAAAAATAGCTGGCATGATGGTGCAGGTCTATCCCAAGCGTACTTGGAAGGCTAAGGCAGTAGGATTGCTTGAGCCCAGGAGTTGGAAGGTTGCTGTGAGCCAGGCTGACGCTATCGCACATCCACCTAGCCTGGGCAACAAAGCCAGACTCTGTCTCAAAAAAAAAAAAAAAAAAGAGAGAGAGTTCAAGTTTGAGGATCCGTCCTGGCTATAAATCATCTTTGTCTTGCTTTTGTCCTGAAATTCTGATACCCATTTTTATGATGCAAATTTCATAAAATTCAACTTGAATAGCTCAAAAGAATCTAACTTGATGATGCCCATTTACTGGGCATATAGTATGTGTCCAAGAACTTTACATGCACCTTCTGTCTTCCATTTAGTCATCATTGCATTTAGGAAAAGTTGATTCAGCTAACAAGATCTTTGGAGAGAATCAGCTTCACAAAGGTAGCAGTGAGTGCGGGGCATATTTGCTAACTAGTTCATATGTCAGCTAATTAAGGGAAAAAATATTTCTGCAAAAAATCTTCACCCTGTCAGGTGGATCTCTCATAATTTGAGAGCCGTATAATATGCATCCAGCTTTGGCTGGCTGCTATGCCCTTGGATGTTACTATGGGAGAAGTGGAAATGGTCTAGGCTAAGGGAACTGCTCCAGCCAGAGAAACTGGAAGCTCAAGATCAACTTTGCTTATTTTGCTTTGGGCTAAACCTGACCACCCCAACCACCTACTTTGGACAGGAAATGATGGTGCCCTCTCAGCCTTGGACTGGGAAAGGAAGGCCTTTTGGCCCCTGGCAGATCCTGTGGTCCTGAGGCTACCCCAGTTGGGATTAAGTACCTGTACCCATCTCTAGTTGTCATTCTCTCTGCTCCTTCCTGTTTCTGCACCCATCCCAGAGCTCTGCCTAAGAGCTCTCTGATCTGTCCTGTTTTTATTTTCTTTCTCCTCAGGTTTGAATCAACTTCTTGGGCTTTGTTTCTATGTTGGAAGAAATGTTACAGAAAGTGAAGAGCTGGAATGTGAGGGAAATAAAAGGCTTTTTTTGCCCTGTGTTGCCTAAGGTGTTCATTGGGGATTGGATTGAGGTGGGAATTTTAGGGTAGACAAGCTTAGGAGGTTGTGGGGGGAGTTTTCCTTGTTGACTCTTTAGTTGGGATACAGTTTAGCATAGGTCATAGGTTACTGCAGCTCTTCCCACGGTTGACTTGGCTTTGGAAAACACCTGGGTTTGATCCCACCTATGCTACTTTATGTCTTGTTTTCTTCTATGAAATAAAACTGATAATTCCAGCTAGTTGAGAGGGGAGGGTGTCAGGTCATGGAAATGCTTTGAGATAAATGTATTCTGAGCTTGGGCAAGTCGTGCAACTCTGTAGGGCCTCCATTTCCGAAGGGATTTGACGAATTGAGTTTTCCCAACACTGACGTGCAAAGATTCCTCGCACTTGGGGGTCCACGTCCAGGCTGGGTGGTTACAAATCTCTGAACAGTCCATTTTCCCGCCTTTTCCGCGCCCAGCAGCAGCCTTCCCTTACCCTTCCCAGCGACTACCCTGCACGCAGGCGCAGATCTCGCCGCTCGCCGTTTCTTTCCTTCCACCCGCGCCCCTTCAAAGCTTCCCCTAGCAACAAGCTCGGGCCAGCGCATGCGCCGCAGTTCTTTCCTCTGCCAGTCGTCGGACCGAGCGCTGGGCTCCTCCCGGTGCAAGCCTAGCCCTTGTCCCCGCCCCTTCCCACCCAGGGTCCGCGTGGCGGGGCGCGCGCGCACTAGGGCTCGGTAGCAGCCCGTCTTCGGAGCCGGGGCAGTAAGGAGAGAGGGCGGGGCTGTTTCCTTTGGGGCCCCGCCCCCTTTTGCCCGGCATACCTACAGCGCTTGCGCGCTCCCGCCCGGTCTCCATCTTGGAATTGGGAGGAAGAGGGAGAGGGAGACCGGGACGAGACCGGGGCTGTGGTGCGGAGAGAGGCTGAGACGGAAGAGAAGGGAGGGAGAGAGGGCGAGGGGACCGTTAGCAGCGCTTTAGTTACAATCTTTCAGCTATTCTCGGAAGAGAGAAGGGGAAAGGGAGGAGGCCAGGGCGGGAGTGGGGGCTGTCACCCTCAGACCCCGGCGTGAGAGGGGCTGTGTGGCCGGACGTCCTCGGGGTGGGCCCCCTGTCGGTGGCCGAAAACCTGGGGCTCAGGCCCCTGAGTCCCAAATTTCCGGGCTTTGCCCCTTGCTTCTCAGATACCCAGGTATCAGCCCTCATATTCCAGATATCCGGGACTCGGGTCCCAGCCTCTCTAAACCTGGGTCTCTGTTTCATAGAATTTCAAATCTCTGGGGTTCAGGCCCCTGCGTGCACCAGTATCCGGGGTTCATTCCCCAGGCATTCAAATATCGGGTTCAGTTTCTCGTTCAGATATACGGGGTTCAGACCCCACTATCAGCAATCCGGGATTCCGCAACTGTTGCCCTCGAGGAGAGGGAGGACTGGACCGCGAGGTCAGATCGGGTTGTTACCCCCTCCCCTCCAGGGGAGGCTTCCCGGGCCCGCCCCTCAAGAAGGGCGAAAGCCGAGGAAGAGGTGGCAAGGGGAAAGGTCTCCTTGCCCCTCTCCCTGCTTGGCAGAGCCGCTGGAGGACCCCAGGCGGAAGCGGAGGCGCTGGGGCACCATAGTGACCCCTACCAGGTGAGACACGGGGTGCAGGGGCGCGGGTCCCTGTGTCTAGCACTGAGAAGAAAGGGTACTCCTTTCTGAGAAGCTGGACCTGGGTAGGCCCTCTCAGGATGGGGAAGCCCAGCTGGGCCAGTGGTCAGCCTCTGGCTAGCCTTGCCTTCTGTTGCCAACCTCTTCCCCTTCCTCTTCCCTTTATGGTGTTTGGTTGATGGGAGACCTCAGGTGACAGGGTCTCTGATGTCACCAGGGGTCAAGTCCTAGGGTGCTTGAGCTAATCAGATGGGTTTACACCTTCTGGTCTTCCATGTTCACTTTGTCCCTCACAGCCCCCTCTTCTCTGTGATCATGTCCGTTTTTCCTGACTGGTCTGGGGTGTTGATTCCCATGCCTCTGTGTTCCATGATGGGTCTGCTTATCTGTTTTTCAGGCCTGGTCTGGTTGGGTTTCTTATCCTTGCAAGGATGTGTGTGTGTGTGTGTGTGTGTGTGTGTGTGTGTGTGTGTGTTTGGGGGTGCCTGGAAATATTATCCTCCAGCTACAGTTGTCTTCCAACCTCTTGTTGTGATGGTATAATCTCATACATTTGTCATGGCCAATTTATCTTTTACAAATGTACTTATCATCTATTCCCTCATTGACCATCTCCCCCGTCGTGTCCCCCATCAGGTCCACTCTGTGGAGCGCTCTTTATTGGCATCTACCCATTGTTCAGTCCAATGAACACTGAGGCCCAGAGAGTTCCAAGGTCACACATTGCAGAATACTAATTCCGACACCAAGTCCTCCATCAGATATTTTCCCTGATCTAAACTTTTTTTTTTTGGGCATCTCTTTTCTTCTGAGCCTAGGGCTTGGCCAGGAGTCCCTAGGTGAATGAGTTGGGGTAAGGTTAAGAATTGAGATAGATGAAACTTCTTTCAGAGGGCTATACTCAAAGCATTTTCCTATGGGAGGCTCCATGTCTCCTGCGCCTCTGCCTCATTGCATTTTTCTATCTACGTGACCATTCATTTACCCCCATC